GGCTTATAAAAAACAAAACAAGGGTGTTAGAACAACCCCCATATTAGTCAAACATCTTAGGGGTAATTCCAGCCTGCTGATGGGCCTGAATGGGGAATGTTAGGGGAAGCCAGACAGCCGCATCAACCCCGAGACCCATAGGCCATCAGAGCTTCTACCTCTGGGTTCTCAAAGATCAAGTTCAAAGAAGGCTAGAAGAGCCTGGCGCCTGGCCAGTCACATCCCACAAAGCTTAGCAGCTGCATACAATACTTAAAGCAGTTGAGCTAACAACATGAGTATCTCAAGTGCGCTTGCCTGAGTAGCGGCTTCGCAGCAAAGCTCTACTGTAGAGGGTAACCCCGACTGTGCATGCCCAGTCGCTAGAACATTTTGGCTCGCAGCACTTGTCTTTGAAATTAGCATCCGTTGCGGCCTCGACAAGGTTGGCACGATGCTTGCGCCAGCAGATACGCTGTGTGTCATGGTGCTTTCTGCATTTTCCATGATGACGTTAACTCTGCAATGCATTGCAATGCGATGAGGCAGCTGCAGTGGCCATTTTCACCTTATCCATCGTGTCAACGCCTGATTCCCCAGGCAGCCAGGTGCGTCCGGCAAGCAGACTGCGCAAGGGATATGTTCTCACTCTTGCAAAACTGGGTTGTGCCAAGTTGCCATGATTTTCTTCGCACCGATCCTCAGTTGCCAAAGCAGGCTTCACAATTTGCTCCTTCATGGTCTGAGCCTAAACGTTTCACTTCTGGCTGCCATGTTTGTGCAGCTCTCTTTCAGCGAATTATCGCCCGTATTGCAGTTTGACCTACTGTGTTCGACATTATTCGGAACAACATTTGGGATGCCGGCTTTCGTTTGGATGCCGGCTTTCGTTTGGCTAATTATAGCCGCCTGCACCTCAGCTACAGAGCCTCTGCCCAGGCAATGTTGATTTTTTGTTTGTTTGGTGTTGATGGTCGTGATTGTTTGCTATAATGCGCGATGCTGCGTTCGAAAGAGTTCTTGGAGCGTGCGTGCCTGCGTGCGCCAATAACCCTACCATAAAGCTGCTGGATACTTCGTTCAACGGACAGTTAAGGAGTCCTTTGCCTGAACCTGGTTGAAGAAGAGCATCACATGCAATGGCAGTTTCTGAACCATTCTAAGTGCTCCTCCTTGTTGCAGATTTATCAGGTTGACATTTTCAAGGCGGATGCATGCTGGGGGCTCGTGAGGGTCAGAAAGCAGAGCCCGAGCGATGTGGCTGTGGGGACGCGCTGCATGCGGGATATGCAGGATGTAGCAAAAGACGACTCCTTGCAAGGCTTGTTGCCCACAGGCTAAGCGCCGTTTCTTCCCTCTGGAAAACCAACCCAGCCACATACTCTACAAGTTCTTCCAGATGAGATGCAGAAAGCTGAGAAAGCTGCCAGAAGCCGAGCGTTCTTGGCGACGTTGTAGTTGCCGGCATTCGTGTTAGATCGCGCGACGCAACGACGACTGAGAAAGAAGAAGGTAAATTACGGCGCGGAAGTCAATGAAATTCGGCGTGAGTCTTTACCACAACCTATGACAACCATAGATTCAAGGTTGTTACTCATATTATGACCTCTCCATGCATCACATATGATATCTCCATTATCGTTTTTGGGCATTTGCTACACCGTTTCAGTGTGAAAGTATTCTTCGGCATGTTTTGCATCTTCAGAGCTTACCGACAGACGTCACTGGACCAATGCTACAGCCCATGGTTGAATGGTTTGCGTGGATGCTCTTGAGGGTAGGTAAGAGAATAGCGGTTCCTAAACATCTCCTTTTGAGCTATTTACTAAAGGGCAATCCAACAGGTAATAAATTGAGGCAGTTCAAGAGCGACAACTGAAAATTTTTGTGCAGCGGTTTACCAGGTCCCAAGAACCTCCAAGTCATGGGTCTGTTTGCACAGCTCTGGCTCGGGCTCACTGCAAGTTGTACTGGTTCTGGAACTTGTTAAGTATCGTTCTGGTATCGTTCTCTAATCGTTCCAGTCGCCCTTGTCATGATCGGCTTTTCCTGAGGTGGACTCACTCTGCGGGGCTACCCTATGAATCCTTGCAGAGGGCTTGCCCTACACAATCCACCCCAAGGAAGGACTAATCTGACTACTGCAAAACCCCAAGCGCCTTATGGGAAATCGAAGTCCTCGCCTTCTGGGTGAGGACAGTACTAGGCCTCTAGGCCCAGGACGACTCAACACGGGAGACTTACCATGTCCAGACACAGCGGGACGGACATTCAAATTCCACGCTTCTTGATTTTGCTCGGCATTGGCGACAATTTTTTGGCACTTGTGGAATGATCTGTTGGGTCACTTCTGCAATCAGACCTCGACCTGCCAACCAAGACATCGACACTTCCAGCGTTAGTCAAAACCCCTCGTAAATCCTATGCCACGCAAAACTTGGGGGGTCCGGTGTTTAGTCTCAGATTGAGGAGTTTCGCTTTCGGAGAAACCTGTATTGGTTTTGACACGCCTCTTGAATCCGGCTCTTCCGGAACGGTCTTGTGAGATTGTACAATTAGCTACAGAGCTGTGCTTCTTGAGGGGTGAGATTTCAAGCTGCCGGCCCTGCATAATTCCTTCAAATGGACCGCGCTGGTGCCTTCTTTGCATGTGGCTCAGAGTGTGAACACGTCTTGGAACCTGTTCCCTGCAGGGTGTCCTCCAGGACCTCGAAAGGAAGGAGGCATGCTTATGTAAATTAGGTCCAAGACTCGTTTTGGGAGTCTTGAGCCTAAGTGTAATGACCGAAGGCTCTGACCCCTTGGCAAACATACTTTTCCTGACACCTGGAGCTAACAACGATAAATGCCGCATCTGCTCCGCAATGCAGAATCCAAAATGGTCTGGACAAACATCAACTTGTGAGCCAATGAAAGTCCACGGGGGCTCTTGCAAGCCAACGGGTCACAAGTGACGTTTCTGAGACCTCGGCGACACCGCGAGTAACAAGTTTAGAGGCCTGACTTCTGCGGTCCAAATGGCTGCTAATCTGCTACGTGACATTATCCTTGTGTTCCAGGCCACTGCAGGGGGGCATCCCTCATCAAATAGCCAGCGGTTGCTCCAAAACAGAGTCGGGGTCAGAGTTGCGGATATATTGGCAAACGCTTCTTGAGCAGCGCGCGTGAGGAGCAAAAAGCACGGGTGCGACAATCGACGACTCAAGAAACAAGGGTGTGAGATGGCGCGAGCTGCGCGAGTAGAGGGAGGATAACGGGAATTGCCGGTTGCAAGGCCTGAGAGGTGCCTGATAGCACCGGGTTTTCAAGCACAAGACAAGATCAGCGTGACGGGGCCTTGTTGGAAGTTCGGCCGTAGAAGCGCTGTTGAAATTCAGGCACCTCCGCAGCTGAGGTGTCACTTTCCGTGGCCTGCGTGCCATACTTCCTCAAGCAACATTTCAAAGTATCAAATTAGCTGTAAACATCAAGCGAACGAATAAATTGCGCTTCCGCAGAGCTTCCCTTATAGCAACAATGTGCTTCAAGGCGCAGAGCCCACGCTTATGCATGCCTGACAGATCTACTTCAATGGGCGTGTGAAAGAGTGTGGTTCTGAGAGCCGAAATTGACAGGCAATGTCCAACAATCGCTCGCCGAAAGCATGTTCTCTAAGGATAGTGAGAACCGAGAACCCTGAAAAACGCAACTGCCTGGACGCTTGACACGTGAAATTCATCGTCCCTCGCCGGGATTGGTTGGTAGCATGTAGCATGTTGCCACCCAGGTTCCTTGTAAAATCCACAAGTCTTCTGGCAGCAGAAGTCCTTGGGGTTCTCAACAGGCTGCGCTTTATCCTGAGCAAATCTGAGCGAATTGGGATGATGTAGCGGAAAGCATTCAAACCTCTGAACGCAGAACTGCTCAGAGCGCCGCGTGTCGCTCAGCGACGTATTGGAAGCCCTCGGACTTGTCGCAGACAAAGGCCGCGCAAGACTCAGCCGAACAGGAGGTCAGCGTCCCAGGAACAAATGGTCAAGAAGCTCTGGGAACTCGACCGGAGTGCAGCACTGCTCATCTGACTGGCCCGCCTCACCATGCAGGTGGATCTTGCAGCCGTTTAAGATGAAGAAGCAGAGCATCTCTCAGGATGCCCGGGAGGTCATCTTGCTAGTCGTATCGAGTGCTGCCCCTCTGCACTAGCTTAAGCTTCTGAAGCTTTGTTGATCGCTTGTGTATCAATTGGCTGGGATGTGTTTGTGAGATAGGCTTTCTGTCGCAAGACTATTGCGTCCAGTGTAGTTGAACACTGCTTGGACTGTTCACAGCCTTGTCCAGCTTGGACTCATCTGTGGCCCAGCTGCCAAAGCAAGCGTGCTGAGAGCATTTTGGCTCACAGCATTCCTGGCCATGGGATGCGTTTCCTACCCAGACAAACACATCACCTTGTTGCTTTATTCAAGACGAGTGCGCGGCAGTCGTCACTGTGAAAAAAGATATGCCTGCTTAACAATGCTGCGGACTACTATACACAATCCTACAGAGGCAGGCCCCTGCAGATTTTTCACATGATCTCTCAGTCCATGTTCAGCCACTGAAGTGATCTGGATCACCTTCTAGTTGCTAGCAAAGAGGAACGGTAGATGTTTCAGTATGTGTCTAGTCTCTAGTTGCTTTGCATCTGATTTGCTTGGCGCAAAGGGCGAACACTCTCCACTTTCCAAACGCATAAACCGCGCCCTGAATTAATGCCCACCTGGATCTTTCATTGCGTCAAGTGAGGGCTGCCATGCAGCGACTTACCCCTGCTGCCGTGTGACACTGCTTTCCATGCCATATCACGCATGACCGCAGATTGCGAGGCAACTGTCGTGCGGTTGACGAGCTCTAAACGGCAATCATCCCTGAACTTGGAAGGCTCTGTTCTTTTCACAAGAGAGTGCGTCCCCAGCCGCACAGGGTATGCTGACATGTTTTGCATTGGGCGGTCCTCAGGTGATGCGCCCACCTTATCCTTCTTTTCAGTTGGAACCGCGTGCGTGGCGTTGCACTGCACTGTCCTTAAAGATGGGAAGGAGACGGAACACACACGGGGCAACCGCATTGATCGTACGACCAGTTCATTAACACGCTATCCAGCCAAGGTTTCGAGCAGAGTTGGTCGCAACATTCCCTGTCGTTGGAGGCAACGTTGTCCAAGTATTCAGGATTGGCCTTCCAAAGACTAATGAATGAACCAACCGTTATGCAAGGAGAGCGTTGCAAACTCGAAGCACATCCATCAGGGAGCAACAAATTACGTCAGAGATGTCTTTAGCCAATAATTGCTGCGCTGGCCAACACTTCTTAATATGTATGTTTTTGGCATGTAACGCTTTGGGGGTGGGGGGGGGGGGGGGGNNCGCTGCAATTTGCCTTGTAGCCCGATTTGCAGGTCCATCTCCTGCATGTAGGGCGGCCTGAGCTGAGCAAGCACAATGCTGGGACAGGACCTCATCGTTCACCTGCATTGCGTTTCTAAGTCTCAGTGCTATTTTGCTGTCTGCCGAAAACATACTGATGACGCGAGGCTGGTCAAGCGCTCTCCAGATCCAAACTTGGGGGTACAAGAAAGGTCCTTCAAACACGTCAGGGAAAACCCTGAAGCCTCGTGCGCATGCCAGGGTGAGCATAACCTGCAGCTACTCCTCAAGTTTAGGGAGTGAACCGTCCCAACTTGTTAAGCCAACTTTGCAACCAAGCAGCAGCACTCAGCGTTGCTCTTGCCCTGCAACTTCTGAAAATTTGGCCTGCATATGTCTCCATCATTAAACAGCCTTGTCAATGTGTGAAAAGCACAGTCTGTCACAATCTTGCAGAGCTGCTTTGGAGCCCATCCGTCTGGCAAGTAGCAGGGGTGATTGCTACCTCACCGGATCGGGGCAGTGAAAGTGAGAGAGAGAGAGAGAGAGAAAGTCCGGCTCACAAGCCTTGACCATCATTGACCGTCTGTAGCAGCGGCTGTGGCAACATTTTTTTTAGAAACATTTGCTGATTCTCTAGCATGCCCACCCTTGAGATTCAAAAGCACTGGCTGCTTCTGAAGGTCCGCCGCGGGCGATGCCACAAGGAACTTTGGTTTGCCATCAAGGTGCAGCTCTCGGCGTTGTGATGTTGAAGGCCATGGCCCTGCAGTCACTGCAACTGCAAAAGCATGACGCAAACGACAAAGGACAACAGCGAGGCGCAGCTGTAGCCGAAGAGGTTTTGGCATGGAGCTTTCCTGTTTGGACGATTTGAAAGTGCAGTGGACCCAGTGCAGGGAGAGCTCTCCATTTTGTGGCTGCGCGGCAGCCACACCACTGCCCCTCGCCAAATCCCATCCTGAAACACTCGAACTTGAAACGCCTGAATGCTGAAACGTCACATCCCTAAACCCCAGAGTAGCCTAACATGCCAAGCACCGTAAACTCTTAAACCCGAAAGCCTTGCAACATCTTGAGCCCCCAGCACATCCCAGCACGCATGCAAATCGTAACGTGCAAACACATAGGTCGAGACTGTTGCTAGCGGAGGGAGGTTTTGTTTACAGCCTACAGTCAAAGACGGAGCGTGCTCCAACCTGTCGCGGGCCTCACACGAGGCACTGTGCGGCCGAGAACTATGATTTGAAGTGCTAGGCACATGAATGTTCTGCAATGTGCAGTAGGCCACGGCATGGAAGTCCAGCAAAAGGCCTCGTCCAGCCGTACTTTCCATGCCTGAACTTCTTAAGCGAGCAGCGACAAACACATCAAAGCATGACCAGCACCATTCGGCCATGCTAATACTGTATTCGCAGGCAGCTGCACACGCCTCTGGTCTGAACGCGAGCAACGCCACTACGCCCAGCACCTGCCAGCATGTCGGTGATGTGCTGCAGCGCTTTTACAATTGCAAGGCTTGGCCTGCTTCATTGGCTCTGCCGAGGCACGGCCCGAAGCAGGGGCCGCGCTAAGGCCGCTTGAGTTACAGCGGCAGCGGCGCACCCCGAGAAATCCAAGCAATCAAAAGCATGTTAAGAAAAACTGCGTGTGTCCGGCATCATGAGCGGGGTGCCAGCCTCTTAAAAACGGGAATGCAGCAGACAAGCTAAACTTAAGGGACCTGCGTAAATTCGGTCGTAGCGCATTCCCAGATTGACGTCGAGCCTAACATGCGGACTCCGACTGCACTCAGGCATCCTCAGACCCCGCGACCAAACAAGGCCGCAGCTGGTACACGTTCCCAACGTTGAATTCGATGTGGTGTTTGCCCAGCGAGAGGCAACGTTCCTGCAGAAACTGCAACCGCACTGCATGCATGCACCCACGACCCATGCCGTGAGCATCTCCTGCGCATGAGCGACGTTCTCCGGCCATAGCTCCAGCCCATCATTCACGCCACACCTTCTCACTGCTCTGCAAGGAAATCATCTTGCAGCCAAGTAAAACTCTGGGCACGGCACTCGCCGACCACTTCAGCTACCAGGCAGCTGAAGTAGCCAGTTCCGGAGCCAATATTAAGAAACCTCGCGCACGTAGGTTGAGACCATCAAAGCTTCAAAGACAAACCGCAAACCCAGCATGCCCCAACCGACCCGACCAATTGGAGGCAGTAGCGCCGCAAGGCAGCCTTTGAGGCACAGGGGATGCTTGGATCCGCACGACATTCCAGGCTTCAATGGCATCAGGGCCTGTCAGTAATCTGATGTGCCAAGAACTGAAAGGATTAGGCAATGACTCAGACAGGCCTCCAAAGCTCTGGCGTAGATATGCGGTGCAGACCTTGGCTTCCACAGATGTGTGGTCCTGTTGTGCTTTTCCTGGCATGTGACATGTCCAGCTGATTCTCCAAACATACTCGCGATAGGCATCGGCCACGAAGCGAATCGACGTTCTTCAAAGTGACCACTGGGCGTGCTTGTCAGTTTTGCGTTGGAGCAGCCTCATGCCAACAACCTGTGAGGTTCAAGAATCATAGTGTGGCTCCTCCGGACCAAGCCGTTTCAGGACCTGGGGGATGCTTGGGCATGCAATTACATCTTAGCGAAAGGCGCGATTTCTTGAGCAAGCCCTTGCAGATGCATTGGATGTCAACAAAAGATCGTGTGCCAAATGTGATCTCATCTTCGTGCTGTTTACTTCCGGTCACTTCTATTTTCACCGAAGAAAAAGCTGGCCAATTCACCCCAACTGGAGTGGCCCACCCAGTGTAATTTGCCTCCGCCACAGCGGCAACAGCAACCTCCTGCTTTCTCCGACTCCAAAAGGCTCTTTTCGCTCATGTCGAGGTTTTGCCTGGCAGTGTATTCCCGTCTTGGGCCCGGCCCTTCAAGCAAACCGTTTTTGTCTCCCGGACTCAGTCAGATCCCCTGCTCGGGTTCATCACTAGACAGATGTGATCGAGCTTACTCTCATGGCCTTCCATGCAGGCATTCGTTCAAGCTACGAAGACGGCATTGGCTGCTGCAAATCCTGGGACACTGTCAATCCTTGCTTGGGGCCAGGTTCTGCCAATGCTGTCAGTCTGCATCCCCTGCAACTCTGATACAGCACTGTTGAAAGGTCACGCGGTGAGGGACAGGCTGATGAAGCTTGCCATGGCGGAGCGGTGCATCCTTCGAAAAAAAAAAAAAAAAAAA